AATAATCAGCAAATTATTAATTTCGGCGTCTCTCGGGCTAATGCCCGTGCACGTAATCTGCGTGGACCCGATCGAAGACACGAAATGCTGAATCGACGTGTGATCGAGGTCGAGAACGTATAAATGTGCAACTGGCATTGCTCGGATACGCCGAACTGTAGCGCGAGTTATAAACACGTGAGAAACTGAGCCGAGCTAACGAATATTTCGCCCTCTCACCGAAATCGCGAGATGACAATCGTAATAATATAAAAGCGACGCAAAGGGTGTGGCCACGCTGGGATACACGTAATTTGCATAATATGCTACATAGGCAACGATTTATATTTTAGGTCGAATTAACGTTGCATTAATCACGAGAATAGGTGTTGAATTTTTGCTTGGTGAAGCGTGGACTATAAGCCGAGCTCGATAAATCAGCGCCCGAGACATGTTACATTGACAGAAGACAGCGCGATCCGCGGGACTAATAAAAAGTGACAGTGGCAGTAATGAAGCTGGTTATGCAAAATTGAATATGAGGAACCAATTTATAATATCAGATTCATATGCACTTAAGCCGATAATTTTTACACGTTTTCAAAGTCTGCATGCTTATTGGTTAAACCCATCGGCATGTCATTATATACAATAATTTTATCGAACGCGATACGTACGTACCCGGCACGAGCTTGCCTCGAATCGAAAGTTATATTTCGATGAATCTCGTTTTGTAAACATATTGGTCAATCTTCGTTTAATTGATATTTACGTAATTATTCGCATTTACGTGCAGAGGCATCGGGGGCATCGAGTTGAAAGAGTAAAGTGAAAAAAAGGAAAAACAAACAAATATATATCGATAGGCGAGTCCGTATTGGCTGAGGCATACATAGACAAGTGAAAGGATATCCTTATACACGTGCTCCTTGATATAATTGTCAAAAGAGACATGGCAGACAGACACGAATATTAACAGCAGCTGTATGTCTTGGATTCCGGACGTGTGCTTAGCATATCTATATAGATACACGACTTTGTATGTGCGCATGGCACATTTCGTCACAATTATCCCGCGTGGCCGCACGACGGGCTTTCGAGTAGAGCCAAAGTAATATGCGTAAATTTACAATATCTATCATATTCATAAGCGATTTTATTAATCACGAGCAATTCTGACGTTGGCCAATATCCACGAAACTCGGAGCTCGATATTTCAATAATCGAATCTGTCTCGATTCTAACAGAGAGATACTTTGTCGTTCAATCCGCAGTCAATAACGCGGCAACGAGCAACGTCAATAGACACAGTCAATAGAGTAATGGAGCTCTACATGGGTGATGGTGAAAAATCGTAGCCGAACGCGCTACACATGTTAACAGAAGGGACAAGCGACACAAAGACATACAGCAATAATAACGACACTTACTTATTTATGCTGTCGCAGTTGTCGAGTACAGAGCCTATAACGGTTACTAACTCTCGCCGATATTTAAAATAGAAAAAAGAAACAATGACTAAGCGATCGGTCATGAATGCGCCGTGTGTCGAATCGAAACGCGGAAACCTAAAACGAGACGCGCATCTCGCCGATCGCATAGCCGCGCGCTCGGCTGGCGCATGAGGGCAAGGCCGTGTGCCACGCGCGCAATCGCAGAATAATCCTAGCCGCGAGCTAAATCGACGCTCTCCTTTTATCCCGCTGGCCGCGCGGCTATGAATGAATTCAAAGCGCATAGATATTAACACACGGCTCGCTCAAGTGCGCTTTCTCGAGAGCTTGTATATTAGATATTTTTCCAACTTCCGCTTGGCAGGTATATCAAGCCATTTATAAACACGAGCGCTCAGCATATCAAAGGTTATTAACGCGTCATTCGAGCGTGAACTTCGAGCGATCGTCTATCGTGCGTATTACATATCAGCTGCAGCAGCAGCAGGAAGAAAAAGTCTCGCTCGCGCCGAGACGTTGTTGCTCGCTCGCCCATTTTTTTTCCATTTCGGTTTTCAAGTACACGATGTATTATACTGCGGCGAGAGTGAGCACGAGCATGCAACGATGTGTGTGTATGATAAATTCACGTTTAACAACCCGCTCGAGCTCCTACACTACTATACATATATGCAACGGCAGCATAATATGACGAAACGTAAACGTACGGCGTACACAACTTTGTGCCGCTCATATGGTGGCAGTGGTGGTGGTGCTGCTGCAAAGCTGCGCAGCTGCAATGATCGCTGCACGTTCCACGTGTATTCGACGAGAGAGGGACAATTTTTAAAATATTACGACTTTCGATCGAGATCATTGGCATTCGACTTGGAGCTTATACTTGGCGCTAGAATTGAGCTGTACAGCTCTGTGTCTAGGCCGCGTGTATATGCTCCTTGTTGCTACATTCTGATTGACAATGTTCCTTGTGGGTTTCTAAATTTCGAAAATCGAATAGTGTTTTTTCTCGTGGAAATCACCCGGGTACACGGACCGCAAGTGCCGATCGGCAAGTGGCAATAATAATTATGTCGTGCGCCCTGATTTCTGACTACTAGGCTTCATTGTGTACTTTCATTTTTTTTCTCTCGAATTTGCATCCTCGCGATCGGAGGCACACGAGCGTATTTTTTGAATGCATCATAAAGAGAGGCTCGATAAAGAGAGCCGTCATAATAAAACGTGCAAATGATCCGTCCTACTTTCATATCCGTATATTATAACTTCCTCATGTCTCTTTTTGTGTATGCACACACGTACTATAATATGCGCGAGTGCAAAACTGCATAACGATTTCATCACGTTCATCCTAATGGAACGCACAGCAGACAAAGCAACACTTTATTCTTCTACCAGCGCGATGCAAATAAACAAATATTGGCTAACCGAGTGTAGAATTTTTGCGTACATACACACCACGAGCAACAAAGTACAAGCATAGGTTAGCGCGCAGTGGAGTCCGATTCATTTACAGGATACATAACGAGGCGTGCTGAAGGAACCCCCTTCGATCAGCCATTTCAAGTATTCGATATAAATCGTGCGTGCGTGCGTGTACGAGCGAACGAGGAATGCGCGCCTACCGATCGCGACGCGCTTAATTGATCAGGGGGATGCTGCGCCGACATCGATCCGATGGACTAATGGAAAAAATGTGTATCGCGCACGCGGTCAATTGCGAGAATCGACGTGACATTTCTGTTACATCCTTTCTTTTTTTTTTTTTTTTCTTAATTCGTCGGTCATTTTTTGCGTATTTTATAATGTACATGACCTTGCGCGGCAGTGAACATACCTACGCTCGATCGCCGCATGCCATTTGAATATCAATAAGGTAGTTTGCACATTTGTATATGTCTATCGGCTCTGCGTGTACGTGCGTATGCGTGTATGTAGAGCAATGGTACTTAATTGGTTCACGCACCGCGCCACTATGCCAGCCTGCATGTCAGTGTATATATGGTATACGCGATCTCTCTCTCTCTCTCTCTCTTTCTCTCTGCCGTAATCTTTTGCAATCGCGTGTCTGATCGATTCATGAATTATTGAAACGAGGATGAATAAAAATTCCGCGAGAATTGTCGCTCGCGCAGAAATGCCGTTTTTACGCCTGAAAATCGGCCGCGGAGAGGCGCGAATTTTTCAGTGAAAACTCGTTTCGAGGAACGCGAGCGAGTGCGAGCTCTAGGCGCCGCGCGGCGAATTTACCGAGAAAAACCATAGATCCGATGCCATTGAGAGAATTTTATTGAATGAACGAGACGTGCACGATGCTTATTTGCTCATATAGCATGCATGAACATTAGTAAACGTAATGACGAGAGCGCATAACGCGCAATTGTTGGAAAGTGGAAAAAGCTGTTAAAAAACGACACGCGGCGCGACGACGAAAGTGTAAAAATAAATTTTTTACTGCACGCGTCGTTATAGCCTCTGCCTCTCGTAAAGCGTGATAGAATCCTTCCTTTTTTTTCTTTTTATTTTTACGATTGCTCTGAAATTCATCGGTTCAATTGATTTAGCGGTGTACTAATTAAAAGGCAGAATCGCGGTCGGCATTGTTGTGTGTATGTGTGGGGCATTATGTAGTCACTGACCCAACCCGCAGCGTGCTCAGCAAGAGGAAAAAATATACATACTCGTGCGTGAACACGCGGCTATATTATTATAATGGCATTTAACCTCGCACCGAGCGCAGCGCATTTTTCATCTTTCGCGTATGTGCTCCAGTATAGTAGTCGTATGTATATGGTAAATAGGCTTGCCCCGCGTGAAAGCATTGAAAACTGACCGCGAGCTTGGATTCCGCCGCGTGCGAGCGCTGCAAGCCGATGAATCTGACGAAAATTTACAAAAAACAATTTTTCCTGCATGACACAATAATGCGCGCGATATCATTGTATATGTGTAACGCGAGCCAGCGCAAACGTTAAGTCGTGATTTTTAACGAGGCCGCGCGAGAAGCCGAGTGCATTACATTACGAGCGCGCAAGGTGCGGGCCTTTATCATCAACACTTTCGCCTCGCGCTTTCATCCTAGAGCACAAGTGCACTCGCGGCATATTTTAACGCGCCGCGCCGTACGTCGGAAATGAATAAACATATATGCGCGCGCGAGCAACAATATCGCGAGTTCATTTTTTCCTTTGCGCAAAATTTGATACGGCCCGCCGCGAAGGATCCATTAGATGGAAAAAGTGCAACGCAACGTACTACCGCTATACTGTTAGCACACTGCGAGTGGCAATGGCAATGCTCCGGCGAGCGTGAGCGACACATGCTGCTCGGCGCCAACTTCCGCGTGTTTATCCCGCGCCGCTAACTGACCGATTAGAGCTGGCAGCATTTTCTATGTGTGTATGCTCGAGACTCGTAATATTTTATGGAATTATCAACTTGATCATCGCCCAGAGCTCTCGTAGCTGCCGCTCGCAAATTATTATGTTACACGCACTTTCACTCGAAAAAGCTAATTAATTATTGCCCAACGTTGTTTTAATTGGAGCCAGTAAAAATATAGAAGCTTACCAGTTTCATTTTGGCTAGATGTGTGTGGGTATGTGTGGCTTTTGTCCAGTAGCGTCTCCTCTTTGGTCAGCAATCAACAACTAACTCTCTTCAGCTCTCTCTCTGTCGGCACAACAATAAACACGGCACACTTCACTAAAAATACAACAAAAACAATGGATGTATATCGTTATGCACTATAAAAAATCGAACTAAATTCGTCCTCCTTTTCTTTTTACACTAGTCGAAAATTGGACAAAGGAAAGAGGCAACATGTGTGACAGGAAGGATGATCGAGATGTCCGAGAGTATGGTTAATGAAAAGATTATTAAGCAAGAGAAAAAAATTGACCGGAGAACGTACAGTCGCGGCTGTAATGTGTGTATGGCGCTTAGAGGCGCTTGGCTGGACGACTGGCTTGGGGATCGGTTGTTGGTGCTTTTGACTAGCCGCCGCAGCGCGAACGACTCTATAATGCACCACACACAGACACTCGCGTAGTGCGGCGCAGCAGAAGTAGTAGCAGCAGCAGCAGCAGCAGCACAGCAGCAGCAGGCGAACAAGTGTGGTAGTAGGGGATGCAGCAGCTACGCCAGCAGACCAACTGTCCGAACTCCCGCAAGTATATTATCCTGCGTGGGTATAGTACGTGTGTGTGTGTCTGCGTGTGTGCACCGGCGATCGTGAGGCACCCACCGCGCGCCGATGTAGTCTCAGCGGATGTACTGGCTGTATTACTTCGATACCGACCAAGGTGGCCAACTTATATATCAATTCTTACGGAGGTCAAACTTTATAGTGGCGATCGCGCGGCCAACCGTGGTGGTGGACACAGTCGTACGTAGTCCCACTACTACCACCCGACTGCACGCGAATTACGTTTTTGCGGCCGATCGACGTATCGGCGGTGACGATACGCCGCCGATGCAGCTACTATCCTGTTGTACTCAACGATCGACCCCTGCCTTCGAATTTTTTTCTCGATATCGAGGAGAAATCGTTTTCACGCCTTTTTGTTTTTCGTATAAATTGAAAATCCTTACGATCGAGTTTGATAAATCGAGCCAGCTCGAGCTGCTCATTGTCCGACTCCTTAATGGCCATTTGGAAATTCGATATACTCGATTCTCGCACTGATATCCGATACCGATTGCATATCAGATTTATGTAAGTGCGTACGACAACTCGAGCGCGCGCAAAATAAGCTACTTCCTCGACGCGGAGCAGCTTAAATTTTCCTGACGTCGGGGCCGATAATACCGCCCGAAAGGCGTTACAATTTTTTTTTTCCTTGCCTTTTTGCGCGCGCGCGTGCGCTCGAAAAAAAAGGCGCCACGTATCATATATGCGCAGGCTGTTTTCAACACGTATATCCTATATAAATGTTAGCCGGCATTTTTTCAACGCGGAAGTCATAAAGCCGCGCTGGAGAGTTAAACGAGCGCTTTAAACCTCATAATTATTATGTATTTTGTTCGATGGAAGCTCGAACGCGCGCGTGGGCATTTTTACGAGCCATAAATCAAAATGAGATTTAGTGAAACTTATTAAGCGTTATTATTAATGTAAGAGGTCAAATTGTAGGCTGCACGTGGAAAGCATTGAAATGAGGCGCGTGCGCAGGATAATTGTTTGTTGCCGACAAAAATTCGACGCCGCGCCAACCATCACCCTGGCCTTGCTCGACAAAGTTCGCCACAATATGTAATACGCAATGCCGCGCATCAAATTGCTCTCCGCGAAAGGGAGAGAAAGTGGACAGCTTGTAGCCTTGGATACCACCCCATCAGACCTTCGCCGAGATTTTGTCGTCCTTTCGTTTTCGTCGAGATCCTTTTGCGAAAAAAAGTTTTGCTCGCATTTTTTCCCTCCCTTTGGCCAAATCTACGTCTTTAAGTATCTGCAACGCCGTCTCGTTTAAATTTAGTTCTCTCACGCGCGCTGTCTTACGCGCAGTTTTGTGTAACACGAGTGAACGAGAAAACGATAAAAATGATTAGTGTATACGCTCGTCAATAAAATAGTTGCAGTAATTATATGCTCGTACGCAAGTACGAGGCGGAATCGCGTGAACGTGCATAATCTCACGCGAGACACAATTCATCATTTCACTTTGGCTCGAGCGTCGAGTACTGTGCGCACTCGTACGTACACATTGTGCGTCAAGGTCAAAGGAGCAAGAGAAGACAAAATCGCAGCCGAGTCAGGCCGCTCGAGCCATCACAAAGCTGCTCTTCGACGTGGAAATTCAAATTTAACGAGATGAAGGAAGTCGTTGGAGCTGCTACTTGCAAAACTTGGCGCGCATTGCGCACGATGGTGCAGCGGTAGCTCACTGACGAGTCACTCGTATAGCAGTTGTTGAATTAAAATGAAAGAAAAAAAAGGATTACTACACGATCAGCAATTAAATCGCACGTGCATTACAAGCGTTTTTTTTTTTATCTCGCCGAGTATCGCCTAGCGTATTCATGTCATGCGTGTATCGTTTCATCCTCAGATCAAAACATTCGAGCGTGATCAGGGATTATAATGAAAAATCAATTCGATCGAGTTACGCTAAACGAGTTATGTATATAATTGGTAAATTACAATCGTCGCATCAAACGTGATAAAAGAGACTCTCGTGACGTCCAGCGAATCGATGCTGCCGATGCCGGACAGGAGTTACAGATCGTAGCATTTCTCGCCGATATAAGCCAGTATACGGTCGATCTTTCACACCATCTATGTATACGACACACCTCGAGTGGCACATACACTTAAAGTGCGGCTACGGGCGATCTATCTGTGCTCGATACATAGAAAAGATAATGGCCCCGTGTGCTATAATGTACAGGACGTATACACATACAAACACTCACGATCGACTCGCTCGCGATCGGGGCACACACGATGTATAATCGAAAGCTAATCACGATCAATGATGAATTAATCGCTTGGATTCTGACGTAATGCGTGTGCACGTACACAACAGACACAACACACACACACATACACTCATACTGTGCGCGAAGGGTATCGTCCGCGTGCGGCGGTAGCAGCCCGCGAGCTCTCGGCGCATTATTTCTTGCGTCAAGATTTCATTGTCGCGCGCGCGCATACACGTCGACGTATTTATTATTTAATTTCTTCTCGACTCAATTATTTATCCTGCTAATGAATACGAGACTGCTGTATCTATTGCGTCATTGCCACGCGTTATCGAGTGTTAAATGCCGCCACCGCCGCCTTCGTGCATACATACTTATATAGTATTTCCCGCGCACTCGATTAGCTGCATTGATATTTATGTTACACTTTTGAAAATTAGCTTCAATAACGCTTGGCCGTAAAAAATTACACTTTATGAATACTCTCGAGCTGAAAAGTTACGTTATCACGTATTTTCTTCCCCATCACGAGCGTAGCTCTTGGTCAGTTACCACGCAGAGGGGCGCAATTCGTATTTTATAGAAATTCAAAAACTCCCGCTGTGCCATCGTTATAAGGTATAATGTGTCAATATCACTGCGAGAGGTTCTTGTATAATATCGCTCTTTTTGTTCGTTTTTCGCGAGAGATTTATCGATATTGGAAAATCTGGTTCTTTGCCGCCCACTACTCGCACCGTGAGTGGAAATGTCGCTGCTCAGGTTTATTATTAAAAATTGAAAAATTAAGTCGGTAAGTACCGCATTCTGACTCGCTGATCTAAACCCGGAGCGATACAAATTAATCAGACATATATCGACTCAATCGTTTCAACGTTTATCCTGAAATCTCGAGTAAATTTCGTTTAATCAAAATTTCTGAAATATCTGCGTTCGTGCGTCTGATCGTGCGACTCGTTGACGCAGCATTAGGTTATTATTGAAATTGCGACAATCTTTGTAATGTTCTCACAATTTTCATTGTGACGCGAGGGGAAAAAAGGCGCAAAGTAGCCGGTGATAGCCCGCGGCGCTCGACCAGATGCACTTGTTATTATACTTGCGCGCGATGCAAAAAAGTCCGATGATAAAATCGTGAGTCTATAGTCGCTGCTGCCGCCGGAGCTTGCGTCCGATTCGCGTAATCGATTGTGCAACTCGCGCGTACACGTATAACTTAATCGCGGGTAACATCCTGAAATGTGAATTACGCAGCTAACGTGAGCATTTGGATCTCTTTGGCGCGCGAACAAAGAAAATTGCCTCGATACTTATCAAATTATCGATTTTTGCCATTGATTCATGTTTCATGGAGAAATGTCAATATTCTGTATACAGATATTGTAAACATGGGAACTTATCCGTATCAATTGATTCTATTCTATTCTTATGCCTTGGCGGGGTCCAGTCACTTGAGGGAGCGCGACCCTTGCTTTTTGGCCACTTAGCGGCCAAAGTGAGAAGTATAGGAAGGTAGTAGAAATAAAAAGATATTGTTTGCTAGGCGAACATTTAGAAACAACGTAAACCTTTAGACCCGTTCCCTTTAGGTGTCTAGAATGATGCCCAATTCGTTCAATTTTTACACCGCTTTACACGATAGTCAAATGAGCAACAAGTACTCGAATCGCGTTATTTTCGAAACAACATTTTTGAACCCTATTGGACAAGAATCTCAGAAACTATTGAACGATTTCAGATGAAATTTTAACAGGAGCTTCAAACTAATATTTTCCAGTGAGCCACCAAGCAGTTTTTCGATGAATTAGTTGTTAGAATTTTTATACATTTTATAAAAACAATTTTCTATCGTGGCCTCCGAAAAAATTCCCGAATTTTGGAATTTTCGAAAAATCCTAGAGTGATGTGATCCTTCAATTTAGACTATATTTTTATATAAATAAATCTATAAAAAAAATGATAGTAAATTTAACGTTTTTCACTTACAATGAAACTAAATTCTAACAAATAATGAGTAACTTTGACTGCTTTTTTTTCTTAGTGCGAAAAAAGTACGAAAAATATAAGTTCAGTTTTATATAAGTCACATAAAATCTGTATATTTTTCATTTTAGATTAAAAGAATACATCATTGTATATTGTTTTTTTTTACTAGGACGTCCTATCAAATCCACACCTCATGCAGGATACAGCTTTAAAAGCGTGATCGTTACAAAATGTAAGAAACGTAAATAAAAACAGGTTGGTAATAGTTTTAACGCAACTGCACGAAAAGGTTTGCTCGCGCACTTATATTATTTTTTTCCGTAAACGATATACGACTCGTGCACATTAACACCCCATGATTGATATTGCATAGATTATAAAGTCTCGTATAAATCACGACTCGTGATTGTAATTTGCCGGGCTCCGAGCTCATATACGAAAATATGCATTGATATTGTTCTCTCTTTCGTAAAGCGCTCGGAATGGGCTTATAAAAGTCTCGGGCCAGAGAGGTATTACAAATAAATTAGTGCATTTATTATTGCTTTTGCGCTGCCAGAGGTGAATTTATTCTTCATGCCAACATTCACGCGATCCATAACGCACTCGAACCAAAATAAAAAAAGGCAGCGTGAGTTTACAGCTATATATAAAATATTAATGATTTTTTTATCCTCTCAGGGTCGGGGCATTGACGATTGATCCAGAGCGGCACGCGCGGCGCATTTCGTTTACTTTTATGAAAACACGGAAAAGGAGATATCGATTATAAACAAACGCGTAAAACAAACGCTCGTGCACGCGCTGCTCGCGTCTCGCTCTCACGAGACGGTCCTATACAGCTCGGTATATATAAAGCA